CTATGAAGGATAGAGCGTTATTTTCATCATCAGTTAACACACTCCCGCGGTATTCATGGCGAAAACACACGTTTCCCGGCGCGCGCGCTGTACACCAACAGTACACATTGAGTGACCCCGGCGGCCTGCCCGGCGAGTCCGACGTAATCGGTTGCTGATGATAAGATACGCATCTGGGCACAGACGCAGGATAAGAGTTAAGGACAAGAGTCAGCCCATTTACAATTCTACTGTGCTCGACCGAGAAATGTCCCCCCTTTGGGAATGGCCTAAAGACACTACAGTCAGTGGCACTGCCCCTGGAGGGGGGGGGGTGATCTAGATTCTAGATCAAGATTTCATGAGAGTGTTCTTGTTTGTCTCCGACTCAGACTCTTGTCTACTGAGTAGATTTTCTCGCACACAGTCAACTGCGGTACTTACTTCAGAATCCATGTCAGTCATATCGGTAGATCTAGAATCTACTTGTACTCGTAGAAAGTTTAAAACAACAAGCTGCCCTTTAAAAAAGTCTGAAGAATCAGAAGACAATCAGTGTTTTGATCAAGGTAGATCTATATATATATAAAGGCTTGCAGTCTTCCGTCATTCTTCCGCTGCCATTTTTGACCGGAGCGAGAGAAACAAGGAAAAAAATCGCCCCCACGGGACATCACTCTAGGAAAGAAAGTTGAGCAGACTTGCGCAGTTGTGCCGCTTCGTTTGTTTGTTGTTGTTTTTTTTCGTATTTACTATTTTCATTATAATATGTATAGTATTATTATTGTTAAACATGCACATAGTTGTCGTTATACAATTTGTCCTAGGTTAATCGTTATTAAAATGTTTTAATCTAGCTGCAAAATAATACAGCCACAACCCTTGGATAGGCCGTTGTAGGCCTAGATCAACCTTGCTCAGTTTACTTCCTCAAAAAGGAAGATGCACCCTTCAGAGTCAGAGTGTTCATATTTTTTGTATAATTTAATGCATGTGTATGGTTTGTTTGTCTGTTTCTTTGTTTGTTTGTTTTTGTTGTCATTGTTTAAATTGTTGTTTGTTCTGTTGTTGTTGGGTTGTTGTTGTTTTTGTTGCTGCTGTTGTTTGTTTGTTGTTGTTTTTTTGGTCGGTTTTTTTTTTTTTTG